ACAGACAGACAGACAGACAGACAGACAGACAGACAGACAGAAAGACAGACAGACAGACAGGGAAAGAGACACAGAGAGAAAGAGAGACCTAAAGTGCGGCTATGAAAAGTTGACAAGCACTGATCTGATTAGTCTTGATTTTGAAGACCTGTGTAATGCAAAAACCAACCAATGCTAAAAGCCAACTTTTCCCCCTCTTTCACCTGCTTATTCTTTCCAAAGTTTTGTTGTTGTTGTTGTTGTTGTTGTTGTTGCTGCTGCTGCTGTTGCTGTACGGTCATAAAATGTGCTGTCCTCTCTGTGTGATCATTTGTTTGTCTCACTGAATTTCCTCCATTTATAAGAGAGCTTTAATCCTATCCGTACGTCAGGTTTTACTATCGTATCCATACCACGTGGGAAACTCTGTGCCACCACTTTCCAAACAGGAAATTTACTCGTTAATCCGATCCGTACGCTTTGCACAACAGTTTGTCAAAGTGATTGTTTGAGAAAAGCTGAAAATTTCAAAGCGATCTTCGTACTAAAAGTATTCTAAAATGTAAAGAATATAACCCCGGGGGTACAAAATGACCTCAGGGCGTACGGAGAGGGTTAAACACATAAGGAAAAACCACAGAATTCTACGTAGGAAAAACATACTGTCGCGGGTCTTTCAGCCGTGCCGAGCACCCTCAGCGTAACCTTGACTCGGAAGTCGGGTCAGCCGGCAATGTAAGTGATAACTAGCCGTGAGCGTGAAACGGAGCCTTCTGTTCTTGGGCGCCTTTTAAAAATAGAAAACCGGGGATACCCTTGTGATTAATTCTTGAAGTCACACCAGAGATCAGTATACAGACTATCTAGTCACACCCGGGAGGTTATACAGTTGTAAAGTCCTTGGGTCACACCAAAGATTCTCCGGAGAATCTTTGGTCACACTGCAAGCTATTTCAAGTAACCTCCCTTATCTCAAACGAGGGGCCAGATTTTGCCCGGCGCTATCTAAGTATTAATCTGTCGTTGCTATGTCGTAACGGATCCATACGTCCTTGACCAGCAATGATTTATTTATAGAGGCACCAGCAATCCATGTCCAGGTGCTGTTTTAGCCAGGATCCACACGTATTGCAGGGGGCGCGAAGCCTTTGGCGTCAGCGGACCTGTGCGGGTTAGAGAGCATTGTGATGGGCACATTGGACACGTATTGTTAAGGTTTCCATGTGCTAGAAAACGTACAATCAAATATTAATTCATTGTACTCGGTAAACAACGTAGTTATTGAGGACATATAACTGTCCCGTCGTTTTATGAAAGAAAAATATAAAATTATGCAAAATGAGCCCAAAAATATGAAATTATGCGATTCTGTGAACTTTAACAAAGAATGATAGAGGAAAACAATCAGAAATTATGCAAAAAATTATCAAAGTTCGCTAAATTATGCGGGATGCATAAAACAACGGTGACAGGTAATTACTGTTATATTATAACAGAAGAAGGAAAGGGG